TTTGTCGCATGGTTTGTGGAAAGTATAGACTATGTGATATGAAAAGAGGATCAGTTTTTAAACTGCCATCAAGAATGCCTTAAAGTGCCCATAACCTAAAAAATTTTCTTTTCTTATCTGAAAGTACACATTTAAAGAGGAACTTCTGCGAAAAAAGTCGTTTGTCTGCGCGTCCTTTTTTTATTGGCATCACGACTATATAATTTTATTTTTGTATTATAGTCCGTTAAACACCACTGATAAAGTTATTTCTTTTCATACGTGGCGGTTTATCAGCATTTATTATCTTTGCTGTCACAAAGTGATTAACATTTCAGATTAGAGGAAACAGACCATGAATAAAGTGTTTGTTTAGTCATTAAATTCGATGAAATTATACACTTAAGTGTGTCGTCAAGAACTGATTTTCACCAACTTAAATAAGGCCGATGAACAAGTACAAAACTTCTTTGATAACTCTGCCATTTAACGGCTACCGTCTGAGTGAGTTTGCAGAGTTTGCCGAGCAGTTTTACTAGGTGCTGTTTATAGCGAAAAAAACCGTGGTGGGGGAGCAGTTCTTTAAAAATGCGTTACTGTTTACCATGTTATGAACTCTAAGGCCCCTAGCTATATATAGTTCTGAACCTTTCTACATCAAAGCGTTCCACATTATGGAAGTTGTGACAAAGGGCAACGCTTTACGTAAAGATCCGAAACAGTGTGAATTGATTACGCGAAAACCCTCTAGAAATTGCACCACCGCTGTGAGAACGAATTTAGGGAGCTTAATAAACCACGATAGCAACGGCAACGCGAAATGACCAAATTGTGCGTTGTCTGGAGGATGTGCACCACAAAGGTAGCCTGCGAACGCAGACTTCTTTCCGGCTGTCACTGGTTCCGTCGAAAATAAAACTTTTATGTCGAAATTTTGAAATCCCTATCTCAAAATTATCGCTGCGTTCCAGATTTAGTTTCGTGATAGTTTTGACAGTGATAAACAAAGTAAATGATAAACAAAGTGTGACAGTGATAGACAAAGTAAATGACTCTTGGAGGTGCCGTGGGATTTGACGGTAAAATATAAATTCTTTCTAAGTGGTCCTCGGTGTCGCTGTCGTGGTTTCTAAAACTCCCTTTCGTGGTCACTAAGAACTCACAGCGTCGTTGCCAGGTCCAGATCCTCTCGAGCCCTTTTTTGTTTCTGTGTCCACGGCCGTGGCGATCAATGGACCAGCATTAAGAAGATTTAAAGCCAACTTTGATTTTCCGTAAACCTATATGAATGGAAAAATGCTAGGGTCTCCTCTCTCTACAATAATTCGGGCAAGCGCAATGATCCATCCAATTATCGCCCCATTTCAGTAATCCCTGTGGTAGCAAAAGATTTTGAGCGGATAATCTATGATCAACTGTATGTCCATCTAACGAAGTATAATCTTCTTTCCAAACATCAGTCCGGTTTCCCTTCTTTACACTCGACGGTTACGGCTCTACTCGAGGCAACGATAGCTGGGCTGTTAATATAGACCGTGGATTGATGAATACCGGTGGTAAGATGAGAGACCCTGAGAACGAGGTTGCCAATGCCGTTGTCCTCTTAGATTTAAAGAAGGCATTTTGATACAGTCGATCATGAGATTCTTTTATCTAAGCTTCGTTCCTACGGAATTCGTGAACTAGCTTTGCGCTTGTTTCGCTCCTATTTAGTTGACCGAACACAAATCTGCCAAATCGATTGTTCTAAATCAACGGCAAAGTTCCTTAATTGCGGTGTGCCTCAAAGCACGATTCTGGGCCCGCTTTTATTCTTACTCTATATTAATGATTTACCTCAGTGCCTTAATTTTTCTCATCCTCGAATGTATGCTGATGATACCAGCGTTACTTACGATGGCAAAGATTTAAACGAAATTGATGATTATCTTAACAAAGATTTGAAATCTGTTAATACCTGGTTGTCTTCTAATAAACTGACATTGAACCTGACTAAGACCGAATTCTTAATAATAACGTCATTGCAAAGGCGAGTTTACTTGTTAGACAATTCGTCTCTTACCATTAATAATTTTCCCATTGAGCAGGTGTCGTCAACAAAATCTCTCGGTGTATCTATATCGATGAAAACTTAAGCTGGAATACCCACATTGAAACTGTTTGTAGGAAAATCTCCTCAGCTTTAGGCTTAATTAAGCGCTTTAGAGATTTTGTACCATTTTACACTCTTGGAACATCTTCAGTGGTTTGGTAAAGCCCCAGTTTGACTACTGCAGCTTAGTATGGGATTGCTGCAGTACAAGTCTCACTGAAAAATTTCTGAAGCTGCAGAACCGGGCGGCTCGTATATTGTTGTCCGCCCATTAGGATTCTAGTGCTGCAGACCTGTTCCGTAGACTTCATTGGAATCAGAGGCTTTTTGCCAAAGCCGTTATGATGTTCAAAATATTTTTATAATGATTATATAGTTTTAATTTTTACATTTTTAGGTATTTTGCTTGTTTAGAGTGGAATTTATCGTGTATAAATAAAGTGATTCATCCATCCGTCCATCCTATATTTTCTCCCCTCTCCCCTCTCCCCTCTCCCCTCTCCCCTCTCTCACTTTTTGTGCATCAAAGTTATGAGTGCCCACAACTTTTAATGATGATTGTAGCGTAGGCTTAGTACATTTCGCTGATAACAGTCATCATTCGTGTAGAGGTCCCACTCAGTGGTCTTTGGAGGCTATTTCAACAAAGATTGCAAGGACGTTTTTTAAAGATCAGGTTAAAACGTCATAACATTGCTTGCGTTTAAGATAAGCATATAGTTTTTAGTTGTGCGGAAAGAATAAAGAATTATGCAGTGATTCTCAAAGAATTAAAAAATTAAAAATTAAAAAAGCGAATCTATGAAAATAAAGGTCATATTCGTTCATTGCATATGTTGCTTGACTTGTGTAGAAAAAATGAAGGCGATGCATTTTCCACGAAAATTTGAGTCGTTGGTTCTTGCACGGACACGCTCTTAAAAATGCAATATTACAGATAATATGACATGTCAGTAAGAAGAAATATTGCAGTGTCAACATATCAAGTTCAGATTACTAGTCTTAATAACTGTTGGGGAAGAGGATGCTTTCTTTCTTTTGTGTTGGGTAGAAGATTGATATATGACATTGTGCTGGGTCTGTGTGGGTCAAGCAATTTTTAACATCTTGATTTTAAACGCATCCACCTTCAACCTCCCCACCCCACCTCACAAATTTGTAATCAGGCCTCAGATGTGAATCATGTTTGCTGTAATTTCTTAATAATACTTTTCCATGGAGTGAAATTTCTTCAGACATGCATTACCTTATTAAAAATTGATTAAAAACAAATTGTAGGCCTGATATTCACATTTTTCCTTATCCAGATTTTCTTAAACAAAGAAGTCGGAAAAATCAAAATAATATTTAAAGTAATCAAGTGGTATTGAGTTGACGATGCATTCATGTACAATGAGACGGTGATATGATATTGTGCTATTATAAACAACACCTGAATTATGAGAACTTACATGTAAAATAATTTATCTTCATAGGATATGAGCTCGTAGCCTATTAGTAGGTTAAGCCATCACAACATTTTTAACTCATGTCCAGAAGAAACTAAGATTATACTATAGTGTTTAATTTCTGCTCCAAATAGGCAAAAGGGGTATCCCTAAAAACATTCCCAAAGAAATAAGCTCACTCGCTCAGAAACCTTGCAAGATAAGTTGTAACATCCACAAAATACTCAATTTAAGAATTTGTTCATGCTTAGCGTGCGTATATCGAGTTATGGATGCACGCGGGAAGTTTGGAGAGCACGAAAGATGCGTAAGAGTTGCACAGGCGATAGCCGAGTGCAACTCTAGCTTCTTGAGTGCTCTCCAAACTTCCCAAGTGCATCCATAACTCGATATACGCACAGCTAAAAGCATGAGCAAATTCTTTTATAACATAGCTGACAAAAATGCTTGCTTTTTGATTAACTGCAAAATTCTCGTAACGCGCGACACAATAACAAACGATTCTACTGGCTGATTACGAACACGCCACAATCGTCTAGTTTGAATGAAAATATTCTTTCTGGAAAAGTGAGAAAGAAAATTTGCTTCTTTATTCGTTAACGATCAATGGAAACTAAGCAGAAACAAAGGTAAAAGAGTCTTAAAGTTCACCTAAAGTTAAAATACTAACATGTTCGTAAGAAGTCGTGGAGTATGGTTTGGATTTGCTGAAAAGATGTTTACGTTTTGCTCGGCGAAATCCAGAAAACATGTTTTTTAGCGAAGACGACTGTCGTCCTTCTTTAAACTTATATTCATTTACGAACACTGGCTGGTCATTGAGAAGACCTGGCAGCAGTTGTTTTTATGAGTAATAATTTATGTCTTCTTGTGTAATTTGTGTTGTTATTGCGAGATAAATCTTCCTGGTTAAGTCGGATTGTACGGAGATAACAAAGTGCATAACAAATTTAAAAACAACAATAAAAACGGAAATTTTGCCTTTAAATGTTGTTGATGAGCAGTTGGTGTCTGTTCTGTTCCCAGTGAATGTCTTTCAGCCAAAATTTGCTGCAGCTCCTCTTCGACAAATTTACGAAACGCTCAACTTGCGAGTTTTTTTTTAATTCGGCTTTATTTTTGCTGCTTGTTGGATCGGGACCTAAAAGGTCAATGCCGATAGAAAAATTGGGCAGTTCTTCGCTGGTTTCTTCCATATTTTAAAGAGAAGGAAAAGTGCACTGCAGCTTAAAAGACGACAACTTTGCAGCCAGGTAAAAAAAAAATGCTCACGTCATCTTATTTACGCACGGGCGTGCGTAAATAAAGATTTTGTTCATAGCGGCTCAATAGGACTTATATAGGGCAAGCACGCGCGCTATGTTATAATGCTCTTTTTAAGCTATGACTTTGACCACGCACAGCATCAGCAAATATGCCTTGTCTTGAAGGTTGCCTACTAAAAAACAGTCTCTCACGAGATTCAATCAGATCAGCCCTCATTACCAAAGGGTCAGTGGCAAAAGTTGCATCACAGTTGGAATCAATTCAGCTGGTAGCTGCATTGCACATGAGGTCTGAGCCATGTTTTCCACTGGCACACATCCTTGTGGTCCTGGAATCCTGTGATGATTGCATGAATGGATCAAGTGTTCAGCAGCATCATTTGCAACATACATTGTCACCCAAGAAACGCAAAACATTGTAACTGGGTGATCAAAGTCAATATCATCCTGTCTTTGTATCTCACAGAGTTGACGTTTTATAGGGTAGTTAATCCTTGGATTAACCTCAAGCCACATGCGCTCTGAGACATAATTACTTGTAGATGACATTTGCTTCCAAGGTAAACGGCTTTCACTGAATCGATATCCCTTTAATAGCTGTTGTACAAAGATACAAAGGACAACTTCCATGATCCATTCTTATTTGATCAAACAACCCATACTTCATCAGTGCTGGTCTAAACAGATGTTCATAGATTAGAATAGGATTTTTAATGGGCATAGTCACTGCTCCTAAAATGAATCTTGAACAACCTTCAATTAAATACACGCGAGTCATTCCAAACGTCGACGCAAATGCCCCTTTATAGCCAAAATAGGGGGCGAAGTAAGGAATAGGGTTTGTTCGTTGTAATGTATCAACATTCTGGCTTGGAATGCATCACAGGAAAAAATAACGGATTCCCATTTTTGGATATTTTAGGGTATTTAAAGAATACCCACAAAAATCCCAAATTTGGAAGAGTGAGACAAGTCCCAATCAGGGAACTTGGTTGGGAATTCCATGGTTGGGACTTGTCTCACTTTGCCAAACTTGGGATTTTTATGGGTATTCTTTAAATACCCTAAAATATCCAAAAATGGGAATCCGTTATTTTTTCCTGTGCATGTGGTGCGACACGACGAGATGCTTCGGAAATTCTCCTTTGACTGACTGCTCCTGACGTTATCCCCGGCATCGCCCTCACACTTCCTTGCATCTTCCGCCTCCCACAACTGTGCTCGTAAAGATCGATATGTTGAGCGGCGATCACATCCAGTTCATCATTGGAAATGCGATGAATTGATCTCTCGTAGCAATACCTCCTTACACTTCGCTCACTTAATCCTTGAACGTGCTGGTACTGTGATCGATAATAATCACTTATTTCCCTGTGAGAAACTCCTCTTATGACTAATTCTCACGAAGGCCTCGTCTGCAACCTCACTAAAGGTCGCCATGTTTTAAATTGTTACGTCCATTCATTCCCAAGCTCTCTCTGCCAGCTACAAAAAGCGAAAAGCGGAAAGCGGAAAGCGGAAAGCGAAAAGCGAAAAGCGAAAAGCGAAAAGCGAAAAGCGAAAAGCGAAAGGCGAAACCTGAAAAGCGAAAAGCAAAAAGCGAAAAGCGAAAACCGGAATTTGCAAATATAAAATTTAGTCAGTATTTAGAATTTCAACTGAGGGGAACTTAAAATTTACAAAAGAAAAATTGACAGGCAGAATTCCTTTAAGGAAAACCGTAATTAGATTAAGAAAAAGAAAATCAGAATCTGGATTACAAAAAGGAAAATCAAAAACTGGAAGTTGCTGATCTGAAATAAGAAGGTTATACTAGAAAAACAAAAATAAATACCTAAATACTGTTTGGCCGAAAAGGTACATTTATTATGTAAGGTCCAGCAGGTGAGAAGTAAAGCCATGTAGCTGCATTGTTTTGACATAAATTAGAAACGTTACGTTTATAATTTCCCGTGAGAGTAATTTGGCCCCATTAGTGATTATTTTTTTCTCATCTGCTTGTTTCAGAAGGCAAAAAACATGACGCATCCATGCTCACAGATTCAGAACTGATGCAAGACCTGCAGCAACACGCTTTTTCACATGGTGGTCAGCCAATGTGCCTTTAAGGGGATCCCGCATATCCGCTAAGGGTGCAACTTCAGGGCCCTTTCAGATTTGGATTTTTAACCGACGAAATGGAGGCATACAACACAGCAATGAGTACTGTCAGGTCTTTTGTGTGATGGCTATTCGATCAATTATTTCAAAGTTTAAGACAAATTTAAAACTTGGACTTAGTAGCATCGGAAAAATGTATTTTATCTTGAGTCATTTGCAAACATTAAGACCCCGAGAGCTCCGCAAGGCGCCGCACTAGTTTGCTGAAGAGATTGGTAGACAACAAAAGAAATTAAACAAATCGTTTGGGATAAATGGCCACAAATGTGAAGAGTTTAATTAAAACTAAGGTTACAAACAAAGATTAAAATCTCTTCAGGAAAGGTGGGGTTAGAACTTTCGCCACAAGCCACAACAATGTGGCAACCCCACCAAGGCGCTGGCGGAACTCTCGAAAGGAAAATGCACATGGAACAGTGGCGCCACAGCCCCTGACTGACCAGCGTCACTGAAAGAAAATTACAAGTTATGTCACACCAAACAGTGGCGCCACAGCCCCTGACTGACTAGCGTCACTGAACGAAAATTACAAGTTATGTCTCTTAAAGGCGAGAAACAGATTCTGCTAAAAAATTTAAATTACGAAAACGTGGATATTATGAATAGTCCGGAAACAGCCCTTGTCTGACAACCGGACAACAATGTTGAATATGTATGTATGTATGTAAATCTTTATTTAAACACGGGAAATCATCAGTTAAGCTTAAGTTAAAAACTAAAACTAATTACAACTGCTTTACATGATTGCCGTGTGGGAATCCGATATATCAGCTACCTTCTTGATATTTCGCTTAAAATGCTCAACGGATGCAGCGTTTTTTAAGTTTTTGGGCAAGTTATTCCCTAACATGGCCCCGCTGTAAGAGAAGCTTCGTTTCAAATAATTGGTGCTTGGTTTGGACAAGGTCAGCCTTCCCTCAGAGTTTCTTAAGTTGTAAGCAGAGTGACGCTGAGAGAAAAGACTTTGCAGATATTCTGGAGCAAGGTCATTCATGGTTTTATACATCATTACGGCTTTTTGTTTCTTTCGTCGAAGAGATAGCCTCTCCCAGCTGAGGGTGGAGAGAAGGTGGTTTGAGCTCGCATCAAAGGGTGATTTAGTAATAACTCTGGCTGCACGATTCTGTAATTTTTGGAGCTTATCACTCAAGTAACCACTCAAACAGTCCCAGACGGGGCTGCAGTAATCAAAATGAGGCATAATTAAAGCGTTATAAATTTGAATTGCAGTTTCTTTGGATATAAAGGGCCGCACACGTTTTAGGGCGCCTATAGCTGAAGAGACTTTCTTGCAAATCTCTTCAACGTGTTTACCCCAAGAGAGTTGAGCATCTATGGTAAGACCCAAGGATTTGGTATGATCGACTCTCTTAATAATTTGGTCATCAATTCTGATTTCTACATCGTCACATTGGGCAGATAGTCTTTGTCTTGATCCAATAATCATTAGCTCTGTTTTAGCAACATTTAGACTGAGCTTGTTAGCTTTCAGCCAACAGCTAAGGTTATTTAATTCAGGGGTTAGAGCTAGCTTAAGCTCTGTTAACGTCTTAGCAGATAACGTAAGGTTGGTGTCGTCGGCAAACATTCTTGGTACGGCGCCCCGCAGGGAGTTGGGAAGATCATTAATGTAAATTAAAAATAGCAAAGGACCCAATATGCTACCCTGCGGCACGCCGCAACTGAGGGTACGAGCAGATGATAGTTTGCCACTGACATTACATCTTTGGGTTCGGCCACTTAAGTACGACGAGAACCATTTTATAGCTGCCTGATCGACACCCAAGTACGACATCTTACGCAAGATGATCTCATGATCAATGGTGTCGAATGCCTTAGTAAGGTCAATAAAGACAACGCCATTTAGAAGGCCATTGTCGATGTTTACTGACCAAGCATTTGTTGCCTCAAGCAAAGCCGTGAGCGTACTATGTAGAGAACGGAACCCTGATTGGCAACCTAGTAGCAATTTATTATCATCTAGATAATGGAAAAGTTGATTATAAACAATTCTTTCAAAAACTTTCGAAATTATAGGGATTACAGATATCGGCCTGTAGTTGTTAGGGTCCGATTTAATGCCCTTTTTAAAAGTGGAGTCACTTTGGCTGTTTTCCAATCGTTTGGATATATCCCAGTGAGAATAGACTTTGAGAATATTGAGGTAAGAGAGGGTGCGACGATATTAGCAGCCATTTTCAACAATTTACTCGGAATCATATCAAGACCGGTGGCTTTCTTTTCATCAATTTTCGACAAAACGTTAGAAACAATATCAACACTCGGAATTTGCAGAGAAAACGAATGATCAGTGGGCTTTAAATAAGACTCAGGATTAACATCGACAACAGGAATATCTTGTGCTAATACTTGCGCAACGTTTGTAAAGTGATCGTTAATAGTTTCCGCAATGTCCAAAGGGTTACTTGCTATTTTATCATCTACCTTGATCTCCAAAATATTCGTTGACTTACCACTGTTACGTGAAGTTAGCTCGTTGATAACATTCCATGTTTTGCGCAAATTCACAATTTGTTGGCTTCCAGGTTGTCAGAAACATAGAGTTTTTTTTGCGAGTTTAATTGCGTTATTTGCCTGATTTCTTGCACACCTAAATTGATCCCATATAGCCGGGTTATTGGAGGAGATTGCCTTCTTTTAAGGAAATCTCGTTTTCGGATTTTGCTCAGTAACTCTCTAGTAATCCATGGAGATCGTTTTTTCGAATTCTTTTGGATTTAAGTGGTGCGTGTTTATCAACGCAGCCAAGAAACATTTCTTTCCATACATGCCACATTTCATTGGGATCAGAATACAAATGAACATTGGCCCAAGGTAGTTGATTGAGGTCACTTAAGAATTTTCCTCTGTTAAAGTGTTTAAATTGCCGTGTTTCAATCACGCGAGGGCCAATACGGCAGTATTGAGTCTTACGTGACAAAAAAACAAGAGAATGATCACTTATGCCAAGGTGAATGACACCGGAATTTGTAATCTTATCTGGGGAGTTCGTTATACATAAATCAATTAATGTTTTTGAGTTCTGGGTGACACGTGTTGGTTCAGTGATTAACTGACTAAGACCATATATATCGAAAATGTTTATCAGATGGGAAGAATTGACTGTAATTCCTTCAGGCAACAAATTGCAGTTGATATCACCGAGTAAATATAATTCCTTATTTTCCGCGTCAATTTTAGCAATAACATTCTCAAATTCGCTAAATAAATTGGGTGGAGAACTTGGGGGTCGATACCAAGTACCGACCAGAAATGGTGTACTTCGTGGCTTACTGATTTCAACAAAAAGAGACTCTAAAAGATCATTATTTAAATCATTACGTATTCGATAGTTCAGATTAGTGCGTACGTATGTACATACTCCACCTCCATTCCTTCCGTTAATTTTACGATCTTTTCTGACTATTTCAAAGCCAGGTATGTAAACTTCGTCATCACGTACTGTAGAGTCTAATTTTGACTCGTTGATATGTAAAATATCAACTTTTGAAGAGGACATAAAAACTCTAAGTTCGTCAATATGAGACAACAGACTATTAATGTTAAGGGATGCTATAGCTAAACCTCGACCAAAGATTGTGGGACAGCTGGACTTACCGCGGTCGGTACCCTTATGGACATCAGCCGAGTCGGATTCCCAGACGGCAATATCCTAGTCTACACGTAAATGGTTAATGAAGTTTTGAGCTAGGCGCGTGGTGCCTTTCTTGTTTAAATGAAGACCACTTCGATTTAAGTGGCTAGTTATTGAAATGTTAGAGTGGTCAACAAAACCCCAGTTCTTTTGCTTGCAGCATTCCTTAAGAACTTTGTTCACGTCAGGTACTTTACATGCAAGGGCTTCATCATCAGATCTATTGATGAGACCGGATATAGATATCATAGCTGAGGATTCAGAGCTGACTGCTTCGGCTAGGTCAATCAGTTCTACTGCACATTCACGAGGAGTATTGGAGGATCGTAAACTATTGGTTCCCACATGGATAATTATCTCGTCTGGGTTTCTGCGTAGTAGTGGCTTGATATGATCCTTCATGTCTTGCGTTGTGCATCCCGGAAAGGTGGCTATCTTAACTTGTGAATTCTTGGACATTTTATGGCTTTGTAGGTATTTAAGAGTAGAATCCCCCGCTATAATAACTTTCTTCTGACGGTTGGGCTGTGAATGATCAAGTTGATTTGACGAATTGATTAAGTCAGCGTTGCGCGTTCTGATCTCTGAGGACGACGAAGATGTTCTGTGTCCTTTGACAGCGCTATTCCCATTCTGATTGCTTACATTTCTTTCAATTTGATCTTCAACTTGAAGAGGCTCAAATCCGTTACGGGTTTGAATTATATTAGTGGGCATTGTTTTCTGCCTATGTTTTGCATTTGTACTTCTCGGGTGCGGCTTTGCTACAGACCAACGATCACTTGATTGTAGTTGATTGTTTTCAACTTCACTCTTTTCTCGCGTAATTATTGTTAGTGCTAACTTTAAAGAATCATTTTCTTGCTCTAATGACAGAACTCGGCTTTCAAGGAGCAAACATTTTTCTTCCAACTCATTAATTGCATTGTCTTTTTTAGATATAGTGGATAATAACTTTTCACACTTCTTTTTGTAGTCGAGGAGCTCGACACCTAAAGCATTTCCATCTTGTTTTTTAATATTTTCCATCGACAGAAGCTTTGTATTTTCTTGAACTTGCTTCTGAAGGATCAATAAATCGAGTTTCAATCCCTCAATATCGGCAATGATTTCTGAATTTGGTCGCTTTTCAGAACCATTTAGCAGACTCTCACCATCAGTCGACGTTTGAAAATTACTCTGACCACTGTCGGTCTCCTGCAATAGTGTAGATGGTTGAAATGATTGTTCGCTAGAGCTCAGAGAATTGGCATTTTGCGTTTCAGTTGTCTTTCTCGGTTTCTTGTGAATTAATTCTATCAGCCTATCCTTTAAAGCGGGACCATCGCGGCCCTGAAAATTCAGAGTTTGTTGTTTCTTGTTGTACCAATTGATGATAACATTGCCGTTTGAACATTTAAATTGCTTTGTATTCCCACCAGGCGTTAGCCACTTTCCTTGCAGTTTTAAAACATTTTCCACGAATTTCTTTAGAGATTCCAAGTCATTCATCCACACCAACTTTCCGTCATTAAGATGAAGATACTCTAGCTCACAAGACTCTGGATCGAGCGAGGAGGACTCGGTTTCTAAGACATGAACAGCATCAGCATCAGAGCTACAGATTGAACGTCCGTCCGCCATGCTTGCATATATGGAATATCCAACCATGACGCAAGTCTTATACTAAGGATATCTAGTAAATACAAACCCTGGCAATAAAGTAATGCCAGTTAAGATAGAGACTAAATGAAGGCGCAACGAAGAAGCAGTCCAATACCTGACCTTCTACTTTGCCCCGACTAATATTGGTAAGACAATAGGAGCTAAAAGGGGCATAGACCCGCGATATGCTATAGAGTAAAGAAGTACCTAAAGAAGCGCCCTAGCGCTGTGCTGAACAGTTACGCTAGAAGCAAGTCAGGCAATGAAGAGCAGTCCTATACCTGACCCTCCACATTGACCAGACTGCTATTAAACCAAAACGAGCTTCAAAACGTGCAAAGGTAGTCAATTTGCATGCAAGGTGTCGGACCTGATATAGACTTTAAATGCATCGGATTTCCAACGGCCAAGCGCCCGAATCTGGGCATCAGAAAAGCCTTTGTCAGCTGCGTAACAAGCGGCGCCAATTCGAAAGCTATGGCCCTTATATCGGCTTGTATCGAGACCGCAAAACATCAAGCAGCGATGTAATTCTATATTGAACTGACTAGCTGTGATTGGGCTCATGTCAGTATGGCAAAAAAGTGGCCCGGGCTGGTGGCCTCTGTGTTTGCAAAAATTGAGCATAGCCTGAACGGGGCAAAATGGCAAGCAAAGCTCCCGTTCGATCAAGATATCGAATGGACGGTTTGTGGTATTGTGGTAGTTATTTTTATCATTTGAACGTTTCCTTTCTGAGTGAGAAAACGGAGTTGATTGTATTGAACTACCGCGCTGCCAGAATTCGCGCTCTTGGCCGCCAGCTCACCGATCCTAAAGAAGCCGTAAAAGGCAAGTAAGAACATAGCAGAATAAAGAGTACGTTGAAAGGCCGACGATACGGTATGACCTAGTGAACCGACCAGCTCGTGTAACACGGGCCGCGAAATTGGTAAACGGATATCACAAGAACCCTGTCGACTTAAGGCTGTCAATAACTTATTGATTAAAAATGCCTGTGTAGGATCGCGTAAACCTTTCAATTTGTGCACATAACTGATCGCGGACAGATAAGATTTAATGGTTGAGGAGGCTAATTTGCGTGCGTGGAGATAAGAGATAAAGAGGGCTAACGAAGGTATTGATATGGGTAAATCAAAATCAAGCGAGTGAAAAAATTGTTGAGTAAAAGCTGTAAAATGAGCCCAAACTCTCTGGTAAAGTTTGTGTGTGCCCGACGACAGTGCAGAATTTAACAAACCCTTCAGCGTAGTGACCAATTCTCTGGCAGAAGGTGGGTGGGAACTGGAGTTGGCAGTTCGTCCGCCCCGGGCGAGAGTTTCTTGAACTGCTCGACCTGAAAACGTGAAATGTAGTCCGCACCAGTATTATGCACGCCTGGAATGTGGCGCGCGCGAAACAAAATATTATATGTAAGCGATGTTAAAACTAGATCGCGAACTAAAATCATGACTAAAGGGTGTTTAGAGGTCTGTTGGTTAATAATATCGACAATAGCGGCATTATCCGTGTAAAAGGCCGCGCATTTGTTGGCCATAAGCGGCCCCCAAATGTGCAACGAAAGGACTATCGGAAACATTTAAAGGAGGTCCACGAAGCAGGCCACGCGCCGCAAAACCAATGCTTACCAAAGATAGCACCGTAGCCCTTAGAACCGGCTGCATCAGTAAACAGCTCGAGGGAAGGCGACGTTTCCCATTTATCCTCCAAGAAAAACGTTTTGCCATTAAACTAATCTAAAAATGTAAGCCAAGTGGCCATGTCGGACTTAGCTTCTTTACTTAGGCGAATGCGGTGGTACGGGCGCTTGGCTCCTTTGGTAAGATCAATCATGCGGCGAACAAAGGCGCGGCCTGGGACAATAACTGAACAAGTAAAATTTAAAAGACCTAATAAAGACTGCAATTCCCTAAGAGTACTTTACGCCGTTTATAAAAGGTACGCAACAACATACGACATTTCTGAAGCTTATCAACCGGCAGCCTGGCTTCTTGTAACACTGAGTCAAGTGTGATCCCCGCAAACTGTAAAGTCGTAGCTGGGCCGAGAGTTTTTTCCTGTGCTATTGGCACACCGATGTACTCGCACATGCTAAGAAAATTGGTTAAGTCGGCGTGGCATTTGTCATGGCTATCAGCAATAAACAGGAAATCGTCTAAAATGAGTAGGACCACCGAAGCTCCTAAGCGGTTCATGGCAAGCCATTCTAGTGCCGTACTAAAAGCCTCAAAAATAGCGCATGAAGAGGAGCAGCCCATGGGGAGACAACGATCGAAGTAGTACGCGTTTTGCCATTTCATGCCCAACAGAGCAAAGTCGTTGGGATGAATTGGTATGATTCGAAAAGCAGACTTGACATCTGTTTTCGCCATAAAACAACCAGCCCCTTTCCGTTTGATGACAGATATGGCATCGATGCTCGACGCATAATGAACTGACGAACATTCCTCGCTAATGAAATCATTAACAGAAGAGCCGGGGGATAGGACAAATAATGTATAAGTCGAAATTCCGAGGGATCCTTCTTGGGAACTATGCCTGAGATAATGCCCAAATGTCCCAAATGGCATTTTAAATTGGGTCATTCCAAAAATGGTCTGGGTCAAACTATGCTATTGAAACTTTTGACAACTGACATCACCCAAACACAGTTGCATCACTGTGTTACTTGTTGGGCTTGAGGCAGTTGGCTCTTGAAGTTCTGGATGTTGACTTATCGAACTGACTTCTCCAGCATCTACTTCCTTATCCAGCCCTTTTTCATGATTTTCAGTATTTACACACAAGATAACTTTCTTGGGGTTCAGTATGACTCCTTGCCAGCAAAGTAGGCGTATTTTGCAGCACGATCCATTATTTTCTCGGGAATAACGTTATCCTGCCATCTTGGACGTTAAGGGACGGACCATTAGAAAAGTGATGGGGGGTGGGGGTGGGGAAAAAACCAAAAAAAAATTCATGCAAGGGGAAATGCCAAGAAAAAAAATTCATGCAAAGAAGAAGGTAAAGAAAAAAAATTCATGCAGAAGGAAGGTCCAATTGTGACTTTTTCAGAAAGTCTGAGTTTCAGAAATCAACAATATTACCAGCCACAATATGAATAAACAAAAATCACTTTCTTCTTATTGAAACGAGACAATTAGAACCTTGTTTTTGTTTTAAATTGCAGCTAGTGTACCTACAACATACACTGTATACTCTATTATAATAAAAATAATAAGATAAAATAAAATTTGTAATAAATAAATATTAGAATTTGGTAGCTTTGTAAATATTCTATAAAATTATTTGTGCCCACAATAAAAATTAGAGGATGGGTCTTACCGCCTTAAATAAGAATTCTATAATACAATGAAAAAGTGCATTCACACGTAGTAGTAAGTTAAAACTTTAACTGTTACCAACATCAAGTAGTCAACAACATAAACAGCGACACTGCCACTGCTACTTTTAACAAAAATTAAGAACCACAAAGTATGGGTTTCATTGGCAGCCAGACTATCTGCAACATACTGTGTATATTGCATTATAATGAATATCATAAAAACATTTAATTATCCAGAATAACTACTTATCACCCAATAATTACTATAAAGCCAAAATAATGAGTGCAACTGTATATTGTATTGTATTAGTCTTCAATTTCTTCCTCGGTAGACCACTCATCTATGACTGATCTCTCTTCTTCCTCCTTGTTTGGTTCTTTCTCACTGCAAGCTGGTACATGTACTTGTTCTTTGCCCTTTTTTGCTTTCCTTTTTAGTTCCTTCTTAGCAAAGTTCCTCTTCTTTTTCCTTTTGCACTGTTGCTCAGCAACACTACTACCAAATCTCTTCAGTCACATTCACGGACAACAAGAAAATCGCTTATAATTATTTAGATCCAGGAGGCACTTTGGAGAAATTAAGCAAACTGAAACCCTTAATTAGCCGCAATGAAGAACTTTATATTTCAAAAGAGGTCAAAGACAAAATGCTCTTGCATCAGAGGGCAAATCATGCCCACCAGAAACAATGACCGCAGAAAATCACTGAATATGCGTGTCACGACCTCTCAGTCTGAAATAAGCGGCAAGAATCACATTTGATCAGTCAAAACGTTTTCCTCCAGAGCATAATCTACCCGTCAGAGAAAAAGAAAAAAAAATATTGGAACAAGCAGCATTTTGGCATGAGGTAAAAGTCGTGTGTTGCCTACCGACCCCCTTTTTTACACTAAGAATTCCAGAGGGCAGGGACTGAAAAAATGCACAGGGAAGCCGTCCACTCCAAGTGGCTTCCTCCTCTCTTACGGTGTGTACATTTTCGAAAAGATTTTGCATTAAAGTGGCCCGTATCCTTTGATCTGTTGTGAGTGTAGAATAATTTATAAAGCACAAAAACATAGGAAATGAATCAAGATTTCACTGTTCAAAAAAAAGCAATATTTGTCTGAAAAAAAAAATTCGTGCAGAGGGGTTCACCTAAAAAAAAAAATTCCTGCACAAGCAGTGAGCGAAAAAAAAATTCGTGCAAGCTGAAAATTCCCCCCCCCCCCCCCATCACTTTTCTAATGGTCCGTCCCTAATACTACCGAAGAGTTGGGGCGAGTCAATAATTAACAGTTAATTAATGAGGCTGAGTATCTTATGAAGAATTATGGAGATCGAGGAGGGTGTTATCTGTCGAGGCCGTAGGCCGAGGCGGATAACACCCTCCGAGATCTCCATAATTTTTCATATGATAAAAATTCAAAATGATAAATTCAAAATAATTACCTCCATCGATCCATCGATGTTCAGTTCATCTTCGATAGTGTACGTTTAGGTTTGTCCAGCTCTGCAAATATTCTCCAAATAGCAGATGTCGCCCTTCGAGTTGTCTTCTTGCTGTTCTTGCCATGTTTTTAGCTATTTTTTCGCCTAGTTCTTACTCTTGAAACGAGTGAAATGTCCGCCATTTTTTCAAGTTCACAACCAAAACAACTCAACCTCGTCCCCAGGTCTTCTCGGTTAACGGTGCCCTAACCTGCGAAAACGCTGCATTTTTACTTCGGCGGAGCGCGAAGTAAAGGATTCGCGACGCTCAGGAATGTATCAAAGTTGCAATTTTTTGGCAAGATTGGGCAAGCAAAGTATGTAGGTTTTCGGTTATATTCGGCTATTTGACGAAGTGAGAGCCGAATTAGTTCGACCTATCTCGAGATCACTTCGATTTCTTTGATTTATTCTTGAACTTTTTCGAGGAAGAAAGAATTATTATTTTGGCTTTCCCGGGGTTTGAACCGACTCACCTGTGTGACCCGTCAGATCAGAGGAGACTCTAAGTTGAGGGATTAGCCGATTGCGTTACTGCGACCCAAGGTAGTTTCGGATATGAAAAATAGTTATGAAATGATGCACTAGTTTCGGGACAAGATTGGGCGTGCAAGTTAGTGACTTTTCGGCTTGTTTCAACTATTTCACGAGATGAGACCGGACTAATTCGTGATATCTTGAGATCACTTCGAGTTTAGTCTTTAATTACTCGAGGAATAAATAGAGGATATTTCATGACCGCGCAGAGGCACGAAATTTCTCTTCGAGTGTTGATAAACATTTCACGAGTGAGCCCTCCTTTCGAACTGTTGAACCCTCCTTTCGAACTTTCTAAACTTGGCCAGTTTGAAGGGGTCTACCCAAAACTACTTCACGCTAAGTTTAAGGAAATTTGGTCGAAACCGGGGGGAGTTGACCACCCCCCTTGTTTTTTAAAAAAAATGACCAAAAAACACCTAAAAATTGGTCAAAAGTATTAAAGCTCTACTGCTAAAAGAATTCCACCAAATCTTTTCATATTTTCAGTGAATGTTATCCTACCCAAAGACAATTTATTGTAACTGTTTCGTTCTTCTACGACAAGTTCCTATGACACAAGTCATCTCAGCCAAGACCCCCCCTCTCACCCAATAGTGAAAATTGTTGAAATATCCAAAGTTTAAGCCAAAATATCTCCAATGCCGGAGCATGCTTCAAAAAACGGAGCATACCGTCTAGAAGGCGGGACTTCATACTAACATTATCTGCAAAAAAATCTTTGGGCACTCATTTAATTATTCCACAGGAAGACTGCAAACAAGTCGTCCACCACAGGGTACCCGCGTCAATTTTGTTTTCATTATAACGCGCTAATTCGGTAATTATCGCACAGCAACGGACAGACAATGCCACAAAATGATTACACGCCATACACTTTAATGAAATAGAACCATTTCTATCTAATTGCCTAAATAAAAAAAGGGCCCACCACAGGGTACCCACGTCAACCTTTTTTTTTCTCTCATTATATCGCGCTAATTCGGTAATGATAGCGTAGCAACAGACAGAAAATGCCTCAAAATGGTTACACACTATAAGCTTTAATGAAATTGAACCAATCCAAAAGCTTTAGTTTGACTTAAGCCATGAAAATAAGAATCGGCGGCCTTATGATGACCTCTACTATTGTATAAGTGAACTTCGTGACGAAATTTACTCTTCGCTAAGTCAAACACCTGAGTCACAGAACACTATAAAATTACATTGTCTGTATTTGAACTTTAGAATGATTGTATAATAAAATTTGCTTTTGTTCGTCTAGTAAAGGAATAGTAATTTATCCACCATTGGATGTTACTAAAACGGGGAACGGGGAACGGGGAACGGAAGTCTG